GGCCCACGGCCGATAGCTGGCATGTACTGGTGCTTCAAGGTGACCCTCAGTCAAAAGCTGTGTGTATTGCAATCCTCTACAGCATTTTGCAACGAAGCCAGTCTCGTGGAGAAGCCAGTCGTCAATGCAATACAAGTGTCTGAACGCAGAACACATCATGATAGTCTCCAAAGTCAATTACAAGTCCATGTCTCGATCATATGCACAATTCAGAAGCATCGTCTCATCAAAGAAGAGCATGAGAGAAAGAGAAAAGGGGAGAGGGAAGACAGAGAAGAGGAGGATAGAACCAATAGTAATCAATAATACATGTATGTCTCTCTCCTTTCCCACTTCCACTTCGGGCTTCTCCCCTATCGCCACCTCAGCAATGGATGTTCCCCTCTGACGTCCTCTGACAAAATCACTGTGCAGATCATTACAGGGCGCCCATCCTCCTTCCACGTCAGTAAAAAGGTATGGAGGATGGCGCAGCACTTCTTCAGCTTCGTGGTGACAAGCAGCAGATCACACGTGTCGACGATAGGTAAGTCCAGGTAAGCTTCCCCTCAACTCCCATCAGCCTCACAGCCCTGATCCTCCTCCTCCTCCTCCTCGCCAATCCTCGTCACCTAGTCTACAGTTATGGCGGCTACGGCCACGTCAATATAATCTCCCTCTCGGCGGGTGCCCTCCAGCAGCATCTGGCGCCAGCATCACACTCCAACAGCCTCTCGTAGCAGCGCTAGCATCAAGCCAGCGCAAGGCAGAATGCCTTCCCCAGTGGTCTGGCTGGCCTTTTGTAGCGTTGACTAGCATTGACTGGGGTGCACCAGTCTAACCCCTTGGACCGTGTGGACGCCTCAGATTTGCCAGATCTTGACGGCCAGGATGCAGCATTGAAGCAGTGGTACCTTTTCCCAGTCGGAACTAGAATCTTCTTCGTACTTGCCGACAACCATTGATGTGCATCTGATCTATGGCCGAGGGCCGAGGCTGACTACGGGGTTGGCTTTGACTTTGGGTCTGCCTTTCCCGTTCCCGTGGTGGGTCTGACTCCTTTCTTTTTTTTCTTTTTTTTTTGTGGGTCTGACTCTTGATTTCCCAAGAGTCAACCAACTCATGTGGGGCCTCTCGCCGATGTTTTTGACTCAGGCCTTGATACCCCTTGAACCCCAAGGCCCTCTCTCAGACATTTCTCAGACTTGGGACACAACTTTTGGCCCTTGTTTCTGGCATTTGACCGAAAGTGACGACCCTAGTCCGCGGCTGTATGTCTATGAACTGAGTTTAGTGCAAGTTTGTTCTTGAGATTTTTTTTATTTTTTATTTTTTTTTCTAAGGGTTAAACCACCAGTACATCCAGCTATCGGCCGCGGGCCCTTTTCGAAGGCTGCCCGCCCGCCACCGATTCAATTTATCTTATCTACGGCGCTGGGCCTCCTAAATTTTCGTAGGCGACGAGTTTTCTTTTCAGCAAGGCTGGGGCCGTATCCTGGCGGATTTAAGTCCCCTACCTTCAACTTTGCGCTGCGCCGGACAGTCCCTCCTGGCCATATGTCCGAACCAGATGTCCAACCGGACAGTCCCTACTTGGGCCAGGACATCAAAAGCCGAGGTCTGATGGCTTAAACCACCGGTCCCCCCGCCACTTAGAAACTGCCGAAGGACCGGTAAGCCGCAATCACACATTTTTTGTCGCACGACCGGTTTTTCGCGGCCGACCTGGTCCCACCCATGTGGGACCCGGTAGGCCGTGTGCTGAGGAAACCTGTCGTCCTGCCGCTCTGTCCGTGCTCATGCATCCGGACATGGAAGTGACCCGCCCGGCAGCAAAAAAAAAAAAAAAAAAAACGTAACAAAAACCTCGAAAGAAAAACGTAAATCCACCTGTTTTGTATTTATCTTATTTTTGTTATCCCGTTGTTTTCACTTTTTTTTTTTTTTTTTTTTTTTTTTTTTGCGGGTGAAGCGACACAGTCGTTTCGGGCAAGCCGCGTGACAGCACGTTCGTGCAGCCATCACCTGGCGTGAAGCGACCGTCGGATGGCACGTCTTCGTGCACGTTGGCGTTTCTCACGTGCCCTCTGGTGACGCAGGTCGCGGACGGCTGGCGTGGTTCGGTCGGCTGATGTGATTCGAACGTCGCGACCTTCAAGCCCTTGCGTGCGGTTTCGACGTTGCCGTTTCTCTCTCTCTCTCGCTATCTCTGTCTCTCTCTTTTCTGGCGGCATATGAAAGGACATAAAACGATGGTTGTCGCCATCATCGAAGTCTTCCGAGATTGGAGTTCGACGATTGTTGTCTATCTCGAACTCATCTCAGGCATCGGCGACAGCGACAACCAGTGAGTCCGATGGCCATACAGTTTAGACAGGGTGTTCGACCCCCCATCCTACAGTCTTCCCCGGAATACAACGCACGATCATTATACCTGAATTGTACCACATTCGACAATAATGACCGTACGTTGTATTCGGGGAAAGACTGTAGCCAACCCC